ATATCAAAACTCACACTCGAATAAATTAGCTTTCAGCGATCAGTTCTTAAAATAACCATTGAATGTGAAGAACAATTTGTTTTAAAAACTTTTTCCACTACAAAGAAGCGTTTGTGAAATGGAAATATTTCACTGATGTAAATCCATCGATTCAAATAAAGAATCTTTATTTCTAACAGCATAGAATAAAAAAAAGAAAAATGCATGTAATTTGTCAGGGAATCGAGGATGAACTGATTCCTCCTGAACTTACATTTAAAAAGTTCATTTAAATATGTTTGTTTTTATAGCTGCCATTTTACTATTATAAGCAAACAAATAAATATTCATGATTTATATCTGAAGTGTTGATAGAAGTGATTTATTATTGTATATTTAAGGTCATATGATATGGATCACACTTCACAGGCTTTAAAAACACACATCTGTGTAGTTTTACACATTTTCTGTTGTCTTATTCTTATAATGTAATGATATGTGTTGCAGTGCAGTATATAATGTTGTTAGAGGAAGTCATTCATGACCAATTTGTGCAAAACCTTGTGTTGTTTTAGAGATGCAAAATGTTTCCATGTGGACACACAGACAATGATATCCATTCGAATTTGTTTATTTATTTAAATGGCATCGCTGAGCAAGAAAATAACGAGTATATGAGCTCATCCAGATGGCGATATTAACTTTAATGGACTTACAAGTACAGAAACAAAAAGCAATTCAATGTTTATACGTTTATTGGAAGAACGTGACCAAAAAAAAAAAGTTTTGTGGCACATTTCAGCTTCCTTGATCACAGTAGCTTGTAACAGTTTAAAGTTTGTTTCTTAAAAAGTTGAGTAAAAAATACACAACATTAAGGACATCTCCATTTTCTCTTTACACTCCAAAAATTCTTTGTGTGTTTTCCAGTAAAAACATCTAAATAAACTTAAATCAGGACACATTTAATGAAGAAGTCTTGTTTTCTGAACAACGTATCAAAATGAAGTGCGTTTTTGCTTGGCAATGACAATAATCTGTTTTCCTTTTAAATTCATGTTATTGTTAGATATGTTTTGAGCTGAAACTACGATTCCCTTTTGCGTCCTGAGACAGTTTGAGGAACACCTCAGCGTGACACTTCTGGGTGGTCAGCGGGGGTCAACGGGACATTTGGCCACTATAGTGGGTAATCGGACAAATAGTGGGTTTGTGGGACTGGGTCTTGGCTTGGGACCGTTCAGTGGGGGTCAACGGGACATTTGGCCACTATAGTGGGCAGTCGGACAATTGTGGGTTAGCGGGATGGGGGCGTGTGGCTTGTGTGTGGTCAGGGGCGTCAAAGGGACATTTGGCTGCTATAGTTGATAATCGGACAAATAGTGGGTTCATGGGGCGGGGGCGGGGCTTGGGAGTTGTTAGTCGGGGTCGACGGGAGATTTGGCCACTATAGTGGGTAATCGGACAAATAGTAGGTTTGTGGGACTGGGTCTTGGCTTGGGACAGTTCAGTGGGGTCGACGGGACATTTGACCACTATAGTGGGCAGTCGGTCAAATATGGGTTAGTGGGATGGGGGCGTGGCTTGTGTGTGGTCAGGAGCGTCAAAGGGACATTTGGCTGCTATAGTGGATAATCGGACAAATAGTGGGTTAGTGGGACGGGGGTGGGGCTTGGGAGTGGTCAGCCGGGGTCGACGGGACATTTTTCCACTATAGTGGGCAATTGGACAAATAGTGGGTGAGTGGGACGGGGGCGTGGCTTGGGAGTGGTCGGCCTGGGAGGTCTTCCACATGTTTGATCTTGCTGTTGTTGAGGCCTGGCCTTCATATTAGGATAAGGTTATGGTGATTGTTAATGTTTTAACCTGAAACAACACAGATTGTACTGTTTTGATATGATAACTTGAGATGATGGTTTGTACTTGCGTTCCACGATGGTACAATGTTGCCTGAGGGCAAAATCTGGATAATAAATGTTACTTTAATTAAATACGAAATGTGTAATTCATTAAAAACTTGATAAATATGTTTGTTCAAGTGTTTAATTAAATAAATTGATATTTTCAATAAATCTATAATTTTTTTTCTTCACGAAGATGTCAAATGTTCATCCACTATGTAACTGATGCCGGGTCAGGCCATCCTGGTGGCATGGTGGCATTGGTATATCGTCCCCCAAAGCGCCATCGACGCAGTGCGAGTTCCCTTTCGAAAGGGAACGTCTAGGTTACGACTGTAGACATTTGGAGAAAAACTTTAAAAAGTTAATTCATCCGTCAGGTAACGCCCATTTTTACAGATTAACCTAAAGCTGCTCAGCACAATGTCCAAGCTTAACGAAACTCGGCACACAGAGACAAGAGAGAGAGAGAGATAGAGAGGAGGAGAGACAAGGTTGATCATGTGATACACATTTAAATGGCTCATCCTCCATAAAACGTATATAACTCACACACACTCTCCATCGCTAACGAAAGACAGACGCCTTTGATCAACCATGAAGAAGCTCTTCAGTTCCCTGTGGATCTTACTAGGTAAAGTACAACATACATTATCTGCTATTTTACTAGATCCACACTAATGTTAAGACTGTATTAAACTATGTTTCTAGTATAGTTTGCACTCATCTCTCTCTCTTCTGTGGATTTACTGCATATGTTCTTTCCATACATGTTACATTTATCATGGTTAGCATTAAATACCTCTCTCAATTTATAGATTGTAAATGAACTTCATCGCTGGATTTTTGGAGTGTTTTTGTTACTTTGTTATTCTACTTCTGCTTTACAAAACAAATCTTGAAATCAGTGCTCATTTGTGTATGCAAATGGTTTCTCAAGAAAGTCGTGATTCACAGGAGCATCTTCTTATCTCACTTCAGATGACAGTATTTTGCAAGATGCAGATTATTGTTAATGTGTCAGTAGTTTTCACCAGCTTGGCCGTTAATACACAGATCAATGTTTTACAATGCCTTTATCATTCAGATGATGTGCGATTTATATGTGACTATTAAAGTGAATTGTTTGGAGAAAAAGTTTTACTTGAATTCACAGAGCGGCAAAACCTGTTTTATCTGAACTCATTTTAATCAGTTTTTTTTTTTGTTTTGTTTTTTACCCAGGGCTTTTATTGATTAAAGAAATGGTGAATGGAGCGGAAGGTAAGCATCTATTTGCATTAGTTTTCATCTCTATTATATTCATTTCGTTTGATCTGCCAGATTTAATCTGGACCTTTCCGTCCCAAACCACATAAAGCACAAGTATTATTATATTTTCTGTTTTCACTCTAATTTGAAAGTATTATTAATTGTGTTTTTTTTTTTTTTTTTTTTTAAAGTTTGTTATTTTATTACTTCCACTTTTCAGTTGTTTATTTCTTTTCAAGTATGTTTTAATGATTTTAGTTTTAGTTAATGATGATAACCCCAGATAAGGATAATATATAAAAACAGATTTTATATCAATGAATTGCTTTTAAAGACCCACTTTCCAAATGTTCAACAAGAATTAATAAAACTGTATTTTTACTGGTCTTATTTCAGAGAATTTAGCATTAAGGCAAACATCCACCCAATCATCCTTATACACGGATGGATATGCCGGAAAAGTAGTCGATGGTTTACGTGAAACCTATGGCCACACTGATACGCAGACCGACCCGTGGTGGAGAGTGGATCTGATGAAAGTATACAGAGTCAACAGAGTGACCATGACTAACAGAGTGACCTCCATTTATTATAGCAGGATAAACGGGGCAGTGATTCGCGTCGGGAACTTTCTGGACGTTTACAGCAACACCATGTGAGGCTTCCTTTGACTGTTTTGATTAATAAAGCTTCAGATGAACAGAAACTGATAACAGATGATCTCTCTCTCGCTCTGTAGATGTGCTGTAATTCCCACCATTCCATCTGGAGCCACAGCTAGCTTCTCTTGTGGCGGTATGGTGGGACGTTATGTGATTGTCCATATTCCTGGAGATCTAAAGACTCTTAGTTTTAGTGAGCTTGAAGTCTATGGGTATTTAGCAGGTAATTCATTGTTGTAGAACACTTTTCAATATATCATGCCGTACAAGACTGAAAATTGTGACACTTTATTTATGTCCTCCCAAACCAGTGACATTCTCAAATCTCATTCACACAAGTGCATGTTCAAACTTTGAGTGTCAAGATGTGTCAGAACTTTCTTCTTTCCCCAGGAAATCGTGCGTTAGATGGAGCCGCTACACAGTCGTCAACATCTGGGGACTGGTTTGCTGGAAAGGCCATTGACAGTAATCGAGGTCTCCAGCAGTTGTACACGGGATGCTCCTCAACCCTTAATCAGACTAACCCGTGGTGGAGGCTGGATCTGCATGATGTGTACCGAGTTAGTAATGTGGTCGTCACCAACAAACGAGATTGCTGTGAAGAACAAATAAACGGAGCGGAGATTCGCATCGGGGACTCTTTGGAGAACAACGGCAGCAACAATCCCATGTGAGACTCTTGAGGTTGAAAGAACATGAGAGCTTGAGCACAAATGAGAAGGATTAATGTGAAGATTATATGACAGTATCTTGATCTCCTTTATCTGTTTCTCTCTCTGTCTGTAGATGTGCTGTTATTCCTGCTATTCCAGCAGGCGAGTCCTACAACTACTCATGTGATGGGATGGACGGGCGTTATGTGATTGTTCTTATTCCTGGAGATCAAAAGAGACTTAGTCTTTGTGAGGTTGAAGTCTACGGGTATTTGGCAGGTAATTCAATGTTCTAGAGAATTATATTCAATATATATATATATATATATATATATATATATATATATATACGGAATATATTGTAATGAATACACAATAATAATATACATAAAATGTATTTAAGGGGGCCCGGAAGGCCAATTTAGCTAAAAAGGAATGTGTTAAGAACTGCTCCGAGACTTGGAGATGTAGATCCAAATGCAGCTTTATTTAAGATTAGTCATACAGGCAGGGTCAAGAATTAGCAGACATGACAATGGAGAATACACAGTGGGAATCCGGGAAATAGGCAGAGGTCAGGGCAGGCAGCAATAATCAAAATCCAAGAACAATCGAAAGTCAAAAACCAGAAAACAAATACGGAAAATGCTCAAAAATGCAGTATAACACATAAACAAGACTTCGCAAACAGTGAATGTGAGCAAGGTATATATAGACAGACTAACAGGATGAGATACAGGTGAATGCAATCAGTGAATGAGGTACAGGTGAATGTGATCAGTGATGATGAGTCCGGGCAGTGAGTTCTGGGAAATGTAGTTGTGAGTGAAACATCTGGTGTGGAGTGCCCTCTGGTGACTCTCAAGGGCACTCCACCTGGTGACCGTTACATAGCCCCACCCCAAAGAGCGGCTTCCAGACGCTCAAAAAAAAAAAAAAAAAAAAAAGTCCAGGAGGGAAGTGGAGCGGAGGCAGATCCGGGGGAGGGATGGAGGGCCAGGTCCGTGGAGCGGAAAAGGACCTGCAGACTGCGGCAGAATGGATGGCCAGGGCAGAAACGACCCCTCAGGGGACGAGGGCGGAGCAGACTGTGCGGTTGAACAGGGCGGAGCAGGCTGAGTGGTCGCACAAGGCGGAGCAAGATGAACGGGCGGCCACGGCGGTGAAGACCCCTCGGGCGGCCACGGCGGTGAATACCCCTCGGGCGGCCACGGCGGTGAAGAGCCCTCGGGCGGCCACGGCGGTGAAGAGCCCTCGGGCGGCCACGGCAGTGATGCCCTCTCAGGACCAGACACTGGCTCTGGACCAGACACTAGAACAGGAATGGTCACAAGGACAGACACAAACACAGAAACAAACACTGGATCGGGAGCAGACATTGGATCGGCCCTCTTGTCCGGAGACACTGGATCGGCCATCTTGTCCGGAGACACTGGGTCGGAGGCAGCCATCTTGTCCTTAAACACTTCCTGCAAGATGGGTTGGAGCAAAGGCTGTCTCCCTCCACCCTGAAGGTGTATGTGGCTGCTATTTCCGCATATCACGAAGCAGTTGAAGGTAAGTCTCTGGGGAAGCATGACCTGATCATCAGGTTCCTGAGAGGAGCGAGGAGACTGAATCCTCCTCGCCCTCCTCTCGTACCCTCTTGGGACCTCTCAGTGGTTTTAAGCACCCTGCAGAGGCCTCCCTTTGAGCCTCTGCAATCAGTCGAGATTAAGTTCTGGAACTGGAATTCGGGCTGGGCTACTCTCACGTGAACCTGAGACCCCGGCCTGGATATGTGCCCAAGGTTCCTACCACTCCCTTCCGGGACCAGGTAGTGAACCTGCAAGCGCTGCCCCTGGAGGAGGCAGACCCAGCCTTGGCACTGCTCTGTCTGGTACGCGCCCTCCGTGCTTACGTAGACAGAACGCAGTGTTTCAGGACCTCAGACCAGCTCTTTGTCTGTTATGGTGGGAGCCAGAAGGGAAGGGCTCTCTCAAAGCAAAGGTTGTCTCACTGGTTAGTGGACACCATTGCTTTGGCTTACCAGCAGCAAGGTCGACCGTGCCCCCTTGGTGTGACAGCCCACTCCACCCGGAGTGTGGCTTCCTCTTGGGCTCTAGCGCATGGTGCCTCGCTAGCAGACATCTGCAGAGCTCCAGGCTGGGCGACACCAAACACATTCGCTAGATTCTATAATCTCCGAGTGGAGCCTGTGTCCTCTCTTGTACTCGCTCACCCGGCCAGTACTGGACACGTTGGTGTCTTCGCTTGCTCGCCATTCCACTCCACCGACTGGATAAGTGCGATTTTTCTCAGCTGAGCCTTCTACTGAAGCCCTGAGTTCCTCCAGCACTGTTGATTCTGATGCCAGTGTTTGCTTGAACGTCGGTTAGGTGCCTCCGTGTGCATGGTTCCTGCTAGTAACCCCCACATGTGTATTTCCACTGTAAGACTCTCGGAGCATGTGTCTTCCCTCGGCAAGCCACCTTGCCACCCCTGGAGTTAAGATTCTAAGCACCCTACGGGTTGGTGACTCCAGTGTTCTCCATACGTAGCCCCCTGGGATGTATGTGTATTCCTAAGTCCTCCCCACGGGTAGGCGTACTGTGGCATATTTCCTCTGGGATATGCTCCCCAGTGTACCTTGGTATTCCTGTGTCAAGTAGGACTCCTCGTCAGTAAGTTAGTGCGTCAGGGGTCAGACTTGCGCAGGGCACTGAAAGACAGCTGTAAAGGTGGCGTGATTACACGGGGGACCCCCATTCTCCGTCACTTCTGACGTAACTCGGAGTGACTACGAAAGGGAACGTCTCGGTTACGTATGTAACCCTTGTTCCCTGAGTAGGGAACGGAGCCGTTATGTCTCCCTGCCACTTCCGCTGTACCGCTGGGTAGACGCCTGAGTTCAGTCTCGGCTCCTCAGCGAAGACATACTGCAGTGGCGTCCGCTTCCTCCTTTTATACTCACGGGGTGAGGCGGAGATACGCTATGCAAATTCCGCAGACCCATGGCATTTCTTTGCCATTGGCTCGTTTTTTAATACTCGAAGAGGATTGGCTTTCTAGGCGAAACCCCCATTCTCCCATTCTCCGTCACTCCTGACGTAACGTCTCCGTTCCCTACTCAGGGAACGAGGGTTACATACGTAACCGAGATGTTTTCCTACCTATGTGGCAAAAGGGGAAGACAACATCTTTATATTTTGTTATCTCTTGTCAGCACTGACTTAAAAAAAATGAAATCGCCTTTCTACTGAATAGGCAGACACGTTTTATTGAAAGCCCATTTTGACAGCAGTGAAGAACCCCTTTAAATCACATAATGGCATCTCAAACCTCCTGTTTAGAAGTCTGTTTACAAAGTATCTTCCTATCCTCCTCCGGTAAACATGGCAATAAAATGTTCTTCTGAAATCAGATGATTACAATTGTTGATACTGATAGTAGTTTGCCATTGTTTTATTAATAGACCTAGTGTTCACCTGTAAAACACTGTTTGAATCTTTGGCTGCATTTACACTGCAAGCCTTATTGCACAGATCCGATCGTTTGACCATATTTTTTGCCCTGTCTATTAGGGGTGTAACGGGACACAACAATCAAGGTTCGGTACGTACCTCAGTTTTAAAGTCACGGTTCGGTACGTTTTGATACAGAAGAAGAAGAAGAAAAAAAGAAATGCCAGAGAAATTTCCTATTTTTTAAAAGAAAAAAATATTTTTAAATAAGTTTGAGTTTTCCTACATCTTGAAACTTTTAGTTTTATAAATGGGAGTCATCTTTGAAGGAAGAACAGATAATGTTTTGGTAATCACGTTAAAAATAACATTTAAATATATATTTATTTATATAATATTTGAGTTTTGGAAAAATATGTGTGAAGTACTTGAAAGCATTTCACTATTCTAGCCAAACTGGTTCCAGTTAGTGTTACTATATTAAATCCATGGTGAATGTTGCTGGTCTGTGGATGTAAAGTATTACTAGTTCATTCACGGCACAATGTTTCTCCTGGTTTCCATGTCAGTGCTGTTTGATCTAATAGAGATCTACGGTTAATAACGGAGAAATGTGAATGCTTCTCACTAGATCTCGCAGTGATGTTATTACTTCAGTGGCGAATTCAAATGTTTTCTTCACTGGATATCTTAGCGCTGTGTAGTTACTGTGTTGCTTGATCGAGATAGGCTCGCGCTGCACAGATGTTGGTCCGAACTGAAAAAGGATCCGTGAAGCACATAATGAGTAGCGCAGTTTCGTTCCGCTTTCATTGCGCTTGCCATTTGATGTTGCGCAATGTTGTGGTGGCTCGCAAGCGCAATTTTTTTAGGAATCGTTCGGTTTGTATGCGTACCGAACCTGAAGCCTCGAACCGAAACAGTTCAATACGAATACATGTACCGTTACACCCCTAGTTTATATTTACCTTAGACACGACTGTAAACCAATAAATTGATTTCCTGTCAAGACTCATGAATGTTTTGCAGCGCAAAATCTGACGGAACTGAAGAGATATATAGTCCGGAAATAATTTTCATATCTACACCTCAGATCTAGAATTCTGAAGTGTATTATCACTTCATTGTCAAGTCAAGTCACATTTATTTATATAGCGCTTTTTACAATACAGATTGTATCAACGCAGCTTCACAGTGATAACATGAAAGTAATACAACACAGATCAATAATATTGTTGAATATTAAATGTCCCCAACTAAGCAAGCCAAAAGCAAGGCAACAGTGGCAAGGAACCAAAACTCCATCAGGTGATTGTATGGAGAAAAAAACCTTGGGAGAACCCAGACTCAGTCGGGGGCCAGTTGGCTAACATGCATATTGTTTCAAAGCAGCTTCATTGCTGAGAAATATAATGTAGCTTTCAGTAATGAAGTGGTTCTCTTTCAAGGGAACTCGCGTTGCGTCGATTGACGCTAATGGAACGTGTTGCGTGTTGATGTATTGAAGCACATGTAAAATCAGTCCAATGGTGTGACAGATGTCATAGGCGGGTGACGTCATGAACCAGGAAACTACAAAAGCTGGTGTTCACAAGCTTCACAAGCGTGTCTTCACTGTGTCTTCACAATCGCTCTATGTGAAATTGTCCTTGTTATTTGGTGTTGTCTGTTGGTTCCGGTCCCACGTCACCGTGTTGAGAGCTGTCGTCCCAGGATGCTAATGACAGATGCCTGCTTCATGGGCTGGGGGAGCAATCCTGGAAGAACGGACGCTCAGTTCAGGGTAAGGGTTTTCCCCGAGGGGTAACCCCTTTCGCATTATCATGGTTACGCTGCGATGCCTACGTGTCCTGGTTATGTGAAAGAAACCTTGGTTCCTGTCCCAGGCCCCCATGTTGAGAGCTTCTTGTCATCGCAGAATGCTAACGGCAGATGCCTCCCTCACAGGCTGGCTAACGATCCTGGAAGGACGCTCGACTTAGGGTCAATGGGACCTACCAGACCTCAGGGGCCACCATGTGTGGGTCCACACAGACAGCACATCGGTGGTCACCTATTTAAGTCCTCTAGGAGTAAACAACCTGTCGAGACAGGGGCTGAGGCCGGGGGATTAGATGTTCCAACCCGTGGAGCAGGTGGTGGAGCAGATATGGAGGGAGTTTGGCCAGGCTCATTTGGATCTGTTTGTGTCTCGAGAGACTGTCTCACTGTCCACTCTTGGTCTCCCTCACATATCCAGCTCCTCTCGGACCTGATGCGATGGTACAGACGTGGCCGAGACAACGTTTGTGTTTTTCCCCCGATTGCTTTGCTCCCGGGAGTACTGGAGAGAGTTTGCAAGGACCATCTGCCCCTTCTTCTTGTAGCCCTGTGGTGGCCGGGCAAAGAATGATTTGCAGATCTAGTGTTTCTCCTAAACAGGCTTCCTATGGAGTTTCCCATCTGGTGAGACCATTTATCCCAAGCAGAGGGCTTGATATTTCACCCTCGTCCCAAACTGTGGAACCTATGGGCTTGGCCTCTGAGGGAGCCCAGCTAATAGGTTCAGGTCTCTCATCCCAGGTTGTGGAGACCCTTATTCAATCCACTTTAAGGGTTTAGGTGGCGGCCTTGGGTGCTTACCAGAGTCCTTTGGGTGGAAAGATCCCTTGATATCTTGTATCC